TATGGTAGTTCTATTCTTAACTTTTTAAGGAACCTCCATACTGTTTTCCAGAGTGGTGGTGCCAATTTACATTCCCACCAACAGGATAGAAGGGTTCCCTTTCCTCCAAATCCTTTCCAACACTTGTTATTTCTTGTTTGTTTTTTAAAAAATAATAGCCATTGTAACAGGTGTGAGGTGATTTCTCATTTTGTTTTTGATATGCATTTACCTAGTAACTACTGATGTTGAACATCTTTTTAAATGTGTGGTGGCTATATGTATGTCTTCCTTAGAAAAATATCTGTTCAGATCCTCTGCCTATTTTTTAATTCTATTGTTTTTTGTTGTTGTTGAGGCGTACAGGTTCTTTACATATTTTGGATATTAATCCGTTATTGAAAGTATTGTTTGCAAATACCTTTTTCCATTAGGCTAGCTGCCTTTTTGTTTTCTTGATGGTTTTAAAAAATGTTTTTCTGTATGTTTTTTTAATCCTCACCAGAGGATATGTTTACTGACTTTAGAGAGAGAGGAAGGGAGGGAAAAGGAGAGGGAGAAATATTGATGGGAGAGTGAGAAATATTGATGTGAGAGAGTAACATTGATTGGTTGCCTCCTGTGTGCACCCTGACCAGGGATTGAACCTGCAATATTTTGATGTGCAGAACAGCAATCCAACTAACTAAGCCACCTGGTCAGACTTCATCGATGGTTTCTTTTGCTGTGCAGAAGCTTTTTACTTTGATGTGGTCCCATTCATTTATTATTGCTTTTGTTTCCCTTGCTCAGGAGTCAAATTCATAAAAATACTTGTGAAACTAATGTACAGAAGCTAAGTACAGAAGCTAAGTTTTCTTCCATGACTTTTATTGTTTGAGGTCTTGCATTCATATTTTTAGTTCACTTGAGTGAATTTGTATGTGTTGCTGTAAGATACTGGTCTAGTTTCATTCTTCTGAATAAGGCTGTTTAGTTTTTCCAGCTCCATTTATTGAAGAGACTTTACTTTTTCCGTTGTGTATTTTTGGCTCCTTTTTCATAAATTACCCTTGTATGTGTGGATTTATTTCTGAAGTCTCAATTATGTTCCACTGGTCTGTGTTTCAGTTTTTCTGCCAATACCACACTGTTTTGATTACTATAGATGTATAGTATAGTTTCTTTTTTTTAAATCCTCACCAAAAGATATGTTTATTGATTTTTTTTTCAAGAGAGAGAGAAAGAAGAATTGGGAGGGAGAGAGACAGACTGACAGACAGACACTGTTGTGAGAGAGAAACATCAATTGATTGTCTCTGGTACATGTCCTGGCCAGGATTGAACCCACACCTTTTGGTGTATGGGATAATGCTCCAACCAACTGAGCCAACTGGTCAGGGATATAGTATAGTTTGAAATAAGGATATGTGATAACTCCAGATTTTTCCCCCTCTGGATTACTTTGGCATTGTGGGGTCTTGGGGAATTTCATACAAATTTGAGAATTCTTCGTCTATTTCTGTGAAAAATGCCATTGGGGTTTTGGTAGGAATTACATTGAATCTGTATATTTCATAGGTAATATGGACATTTTAACAGTGTTTAATATTCCAATCCATGAATATAGAATATCATTCCATTTTTTTGTGTGTGTCTTTAAGTTCTTTCAACAATGTCAGAGTTTTCAGTGTACAGGTCCTTCACTTATTTTGTCGAATTTATTCCTAGGTATTTTATTTTTTTATTGTGATTGTAAATGGGATTTTTCTAATATTTATATAGAAATGCAGCAGATTTTTGTATATTGATTTTTGTATCTTGAAACTCTACTGTAGTATCTTATTATTTCTGATATTTTTTGGTCAAGTCTTTAAGGTTTTTAATGTATACGATCATCTCATCTGAAAATAGTGACAGTTTTACTTCTTTTTCAATTTGGATGGCTTTTATTTATTTATTTTTCTTGCCTAATTACTCTGGCTAGTACTTCAAGTACTTTGTTGAATAACAGTGAGGAGAATGGGCATCCCTGTCTTGGTTCTCATTTTATAGGAAAAAGCTTTCAGTTTTTTACCATCGAGTACAATGTTAGCTGAGAATTTGTCATGTGTGTCTTTTATTATGTTGAGGTATGTTTCTTTTATACTTATTGAGAGTTTTTATTATAAATGGATGTTGTATCTTTTCAAATGCTTTTAATGCATCTATAGAGATGATCATATGATTTTTACCTTTTGTTATTGTGGTGTATCATGTTTATTAATTTGCAGATGTTAAATCATCCTTGCATCCCTGGAATGAATCCCACTTGATTATGGTATATGAAACTTTTAATGTATTGTTATGTTGTGTTTGCTAGCATTTTGTTGAGGACTTTTTAGTCTGTGTCCATCAGAGACACTGGCCTGTGTGTGTGTATGTATGCAGGTGCTGCCCTGGCCTACTTTTACTATCAGGGTAATCCTGGCTTTGTAAAATGAATTAGCAAGTATTTTTTCCTTTTCAATTTTTTGGGAGAGTTTGAGAAGAAAATATATTAAATTTTTTTTTGCACGTTTTGTGCAATAGAATTCACCAGTTGAAGCCATGGTCCCGGACTTTTGTGTTTTAGGATGTTTTTGAATAGTGTTTTAATTTTGTTAACTACTGATCAGTCTTTTCAGGTTTTCCAGTTCTTCATGGTTCAATCTAGAAAGGTTGTGTGCTTCTAAGAATTTGTCCATTTCCTCTAGGTTTTTAATGTAATGGTCTATAGCTTTTCATAGTATTCTTGTATAATCCTTTGTGTTTTTGTAGTATCATTGTAATTTCACCTCTTTTGTTTTTTATTTATTTGAATCTTCTCTCTTTTTTCCTTAGTGAGTTTAGCTAGAGGTTTGTCAATTTTATTTATCTCTTCAAAGAACCACTTGTTTTATGAATTTTTCTATTGTTTTTTTATTTTCTTTCACTTCTTTTCACTCTGAATTTTAGTATTTCCTTCCTTCTACTAACTTTGGGCTTTGTTTGTTCTCCTTTTACTATTCTCTTGAAGTGTAATATTAGATTTTTATTAGTATATTCCCTCTTTGTACTGCTTTTGCTGCATCCCAGAAATTATAATATGTCATATTTTCATTTTTTTGTCTGTGTATGTCTTTTGAGTTCTTTTACCCAATAGTTTTTCAGCAGCATGTTGTTTAATCTCCACGTTTGTGATTTTTTTCCAGTTTCCTTTCTCTAGTTGATTTATAGTTTCATACCATTTTGGTTGGATGAGATGCTTGTTAGGATTTCAGTCTTCTTAAATTTATTAAGACTTGTTTTTTGTCCCAACATTTGGTCTGTCCTTGAGAATGTTCCATGTGCACTTGAGATGAACATGTATTCTGTTGTTTTGGATGGAAAGTTCTAATATATCTACTAAGTCCATCTGCTCCGTGTCATTTAAAGCCAGTATTTCCATGTAGACTCTGTCTTCTTGATATATCCATTAATATAAGTGGAGTACTGTCAGTTCCTCTGTATAGGAAGGTTCATAATTACTTTATATATTTTCATACTCCTAGGTTTGGTACTTATATACTAATAAAATGTTTATCTTTTTGATGTCTTATGTATCATTATAAAATGTCCATGTTTGTCTCTCTTATTTTTTGTCATGAAGGCTATTTTGTTTGGTATAAATATAACTGCATCTTCTTTTCTCTGGGTACCATTGCTTGGAACATCATTTTTTAATCCTTACATTGAGCCTGTGTTTGGTTTTGTAACACACATGAGTCTCCTAAAGGCAGCATATAATTGGATCTTGTTTTTTAATCTGTTTTGGTACTCTGTGCCTTTTGATTGGTGAATTCAGTCCATTCACATTTAGGGTAATTATTGATGTATCAGGACTTACTACAGTCATTTTATCTTACTCAATCCCAAATTCAGATCTTTCAAACAAACTGATAATTGTTAATAACCCCTTTTTAGCACATGATAGCTGGTTACATCTTTGTAATGTTAAGAACTACCATAGAGTATCGATCTAGAAATTGAAATAATAATGCAGCAAATGAGTATGTGAAAATAATCCTACACAGATGGAAATTACACAGCTCAGAACTTCATGATGAATCATATTCTTGGAAGACCATTGCATTCTTCCCCAGAGTCTGTCAACAGAGGGACGTACAAAGTGATGTAATTTTCATGTTTTAGCTTTAGCATCTGCTGCATGGCAGCTCGATTATAATCCTATTAAAGAAACATCTATAAATATTGGTAAAGATTTCCTTTTTACATTTGTTTCCAGGCTGCTTATCTCTGTAGTCATTCTTTTGGCTGCACTATAGTCTCTTGAGTGATTTGGTGCTCAGTATTTTCCTAGGATTTGACCTCCTCAGGATTTGACTTGGTCCGTGAGTAATTCCACCAGGTCAAAGTGGTGTGTTTTTAAAGCCAGATGCTGAGAGGGACTCTTTTTTTCTCTCTTGTTTTCCCACTTATCCACACACTACTAGCTCTTTAACAACAGCAAGAACCAGGATTTTAAATGAGAAGTTATTTAACCAGTTTATTTTAGTTTTGTCATTTTTCATGAAACCTGTGGAAGTATGAAGAGAAAATTTTAAAAATTTGAATGTGGTTTAGTGTACGCTTTTAAAGAATTATAGAGATGATAACAAATATAAAAATTGGCAGGAGAGATATTAACACAACTAGATTGAAATTTCAACAGAATAAATTATTGAGTGGTAAAAATTATACCTACTACATGCGTAGGCTGGTATCAGATTAAATACTGGTGTAAAAAAAGTGTGGGAAATTAAAAGCTAAAACTTGAAAAACAGACAGATATTTGGGAAATTAAAACGCATAACTCTATATACTCATAGCAACAGATTGTTTCATTATTTGTTTGTGTAATTGGCATCGTCTGTGCTTTACAGTCTTGGAATAATAGAATCATTTGGGAGGGACTGTGGAGGACATTACTGGAATTGAATTGGCATTGTTCACACACTGGTCCGTTCTCTGGTTTAGAATCCTCTCTTTGCTGCTTTTCTTAGGTGGGGCTCTTCCCTGGACACTGTGTTGAGTTAATTAATCAGAAAGTTCCCCAGTCAGTGACCAACTCAGTGCCAAAACCAGGTGAGTACACTTTTTCATTAGTGTGGTTGGTTATTTTATCAACTGCTTAATGGTACGGATTTTCTCTTCTGGTCGCATAGCTCGTTTTGCTGTTCTTTGTATTTATTGATGTAATATGCATTCTTAATTTTATGTGGCTTTGATATTAAGAGATTTTTATTTCTCTCGATCATTTCACAAAGATTTACATGCACTCAAAATTTTAGACAATTTTAAAGAACTATTTGCTCCATTAAGCTTTGTTGTTATTTGTTTTTACAATTATATCAATTATATCGCAGGAATATAGCTTATTAATGAATAACATGATAATAGTTTTAAAGAACGGACATGGAGATAGTATGATTAGCTGAAAATTAATACATAAATGAATGATATTTTATCAGTGCTTGTGAATTTCAAAACTATTTTAAACAGCATTTCTTACTTACATAGTATATTTACAGTGCTGTATAAATATGTGGAGTATTGTACAAATAATTAAAGCAGTGTTAGATTTTTTTTCTTATTGGGGTGACATAATCTTGGCAAATACTGCAGAGTATCTAGTCTGGAATTTTTAAATGTGATGTAAATTTTTCAAAAGAAAATTAACTAAAAAAAGAATACAAGATTTTTGAGAGAATAAGAAGTAATCAAATTTATTTTTCCTAGGTTATATTCCCTCTGTTCTTCCCTGCTCTAACCCCAGCCCTCACCCCCAATTAAAGAAAAGGAAAAAACATTTCTGGGCCTCAGAATTTATTTGTATTGTTTACCTTAATGTATTTTCTAGTTTTAGATTCTTTGTGTGGAATTGGGGGAGGGCAGTTTATTCTTTACTTACTTAATATTTTCCCATCTCTGTCTACAAAACCATTGAGGCATAATAGTTTTTGATTTCAATGAAGTTCAATTTATTTTTTTTCTTTTGCCGTTTATGCTTTTTGTGTCTTATCTAAGAAGGCTTTGCTTAACCCAAGGTCAAGATTTACTCCTAAATATTCTTTAAAGAAGTTTATAGTTTTAGATCTTAAATTTCAGTCTATGATTTAATTTTGAGTTAATTTTTGTTAATGGAGTGAGATTCAATCTGTTGGATATTCAGTTGTCCTAGCATTATTTGTTGAAGAGATTACTACTTCCCCATTAAATTGTCTTGACTTGCTTGTAGGAAGTCAATTGACTGTAGACATAGGAAGTTATTTTTGGATTTTCAATTCTGTTCCATTGATCTGTATATCTGTTGTTATGCTGATATCACCGTGTCTTGATTACTATTGTTTTATAGTAAATAATTTGCAATTGGAAGTCCTATTTTGTTCTTTTTTTTCAGGACTGATTTGGTTTTTCAGGGTCCCTTGCAATTTCATATGAATTTTAAAATCAGCTTTTCAATTTTTACAAAGAAGTCAGCTGAGATTTGGATAGGGATTGTGTTAAATCTATATATCAATTTGGGAAGTATTCCATCTTATCAGTAGTTATTAAATCTTCCAATCCATGAACATGGGGAGTTACTCCATTTATTTAGACCTTTAATTTTTTAAATTTTTGTTTTTTCCAGAGTATATGGTTAGCATTTCTTTTGTTAAATTTATTTTTATTCTTTTTGATACTATTAAAATGGAATTTTAAAAATTTAATTTCTTATTCATTGCAAGTGCATAGAAATACAGTTAATTTTTATATGTTAATTTTATATTCTGAAACATTGTTGAAATGTTTATTCTATAATTTTTAGTGGATTCCTTGGGATATTCTATTCGCAAGATCATGTGATCTGTGAATAGAGATATTTTTACTTTTTTCCTTCCAGTCTGGATTTTTTTTCCTTTTTCTTGCCCAATTGCTTTAGCAGTAACCTCTAATACAATGATGAATAGAAGTTTTAAGAATAGGCATCCTTGTCTTGTTTTTGATCTTAGGAGAAACCATCCAGACATTAACTAGAATTTAGCTATGGGGTTTTTATAGCTGCCCTTTAGCAGGTTGAGGAAGTACCCTTCAATTCTTAGTTTTTTTGAGTGATTTTCTCATAAAAGGGTGTTGAAATCAATATTTTTCTTTATCTGTTGAGGTGATCGTGACTATTTGTGGTAAGTACTTTGGTGTTATTAAAATATAACATCAAAATTTATTGTGATTCCTTTTGCATTATTTTTATAAATTTCTGCTGTAAAAGCTTAACTTTTATTAGTAAGCTTCATTTTTGATAATTTTATCTCAGAAATACTGTAAATTGAGTGTTTTTAATTTTCTTAATATTGGTATTAAACTGTGTCAATCAAATACTTTCTCATATTTTAGATGGGAAAGTGACATTTCTAATTGTGATAACCTCCAGAAGCTTTTGAAACTTGAGAAAGTTAATCAGTTATTGATATTTCTGGGAAATAAATTTCTATTAATAGACTTACGTGGCATTGTTAATTCTAAATTAGTAATGACATAGCTAATTATTTTATTTTTTGTGAGCAGCATTGCAGGGTTGTCATTGGGAAATGTATATTCTTAATCCATTTTGGAAAGGATGATGTGAATTCTATCAGCCTGAGGCTTGCTTCACACGTTTAAACTGTCTTTGCCTACAGTATAAGCAACGTGAATGTTCTATTTATTTTTAACATTGCCATCTGTCACTGTTAGATGCCAGATCTGAAAGATGTAGTTATAGTTCTGAGACTGAAATTTAAATCTCCCTATATCATTGCACAACAAGGGCAATAGGAAAAAAATTTCTCTTTGGAGTTCTTCTTAATGTTCTCAATTTGTTCAATTATTTGTGTGTGTAAAAATAAAATTAATGAGTCATCATGCCCTGCTTGGACTTTACTGAGCAGTTGGTTCTTTTTATTGATTTCTTTCTTTCAATTCTTAATGTTCTCAACTATTACCTCTTTAGTTATTTCTTTTGTTCAGTTCTCTGCTCCTCTTTGCCTGACACATCAGTCACATTCTTTAATATCGCCTCACACATCCTCTCTTTACTGTTTGGATATTTTGTGGTGACCTCTCTCCAAGTTCACTGACTCTTCCCTCTGTGTAGTCATCTCTTAAGCCTACCTAATAAGTTCTTAAAGTCTCATAGGTTTTAGGATCAGCATTAGGTCTTTTTTAATAGTTTCCAAGGTGGAATTCTCTATCTTCTGATATTATTTACCTTTTCCCCTTGAAAGTAAGAAAGAGAGGGGTGGGGAAGACAGGGAGACTGTGGGAAGAAATGGTAAAGAGAAAAAAATAAAGTATAAAAAAAAGATGAAGAGAGAAGAAAGGCAAAGCTTACTCCTGAGGCATAAATTTCTAAAAATGAAGGACTAGAGAATTTAGACAAACCTTCTCTCTGAAAGGAGACAGTTTGGACAGAAATGAAAATATCTTTTTGAAGCATTTGAGAATTAATAAGGCAGGAAACAATTAAGGCTAAGTAAGCAGATGAAGGAAATCCGGTGAGGCAAGACCCTGGGAGATGGAGACATCATTCCCTGGTGTAGCTGCTGGTGGAGGTGACAAAGTCATAGAGCTAGGGGAAAAAATTGCAGTTCAGAACCGGGGCAGAGTTACGAATAAATGTCCCAAGTTTTGATTTGGAATTTTTGTGAGAATTGACAACTGATTCTCAAATGTAAATGGCACTGTAGATCCAAAAATACTTAAGACAATTTTAAAGGATAGAAGAAGTGGGAAACTTACTATAATGGATGCCAAGATTTATTGTTAAAGCTTCACTAAGATACTGGTATTGGTGCAGGACAGACAAATAACTCGGTGGAACAAAATGGGGTTCAGAAACCAACAGTGTATACTCAGATCCTTGATTTATGTTAAAAGTGGCATTGCAGAGCATTGTCCAAAAGGCAGTCATTTCAATAAATGGTGTGAGGTTACCTGGACAAATTATATATCTGATCCTTCTTTAAGCCCATGTACAAAATCCTCTCCAGGAGAATTATAGATCTGTATGTGGAAGATAAAACAAAACTTTTAAAAGATAATTCGTTAGAATATCCTCATGACGTATTTTCATGGTCTTGGGTTAGACATAAAGCAGTAATCATTATAAAAGCTTAGTAATTAAAGTTCAGAGCACTATCATATGATACTATTACAGTAATGAAAATGGCAAACCACAAAGTGAAAATATGTTTGCAGTACACATATCTGAGAAAGATCAGGCAACCAAACTATGTAAAGAAGCAAACAAGATAACAACAGATAAAATGATTTTTTTAATTGATTGAAAATTTGAACAGATACTTCACAACAAATACCCAAAATGCTCAATAAGCATTTGATAAGATGTTCAACTTTGTTAGTCTTTAGAGAAACACAAATTAAAACCTTACACACCCACTACACACCCACTAGAATAGTTAAAATTTAGGAGTAACAGTACCAAAAGTTAGTAAGGATATAAATTAGTGGGAATTCTCATATTGCTGGTGAGGAGTATGATGTGGGACAATCATTCTTTATAGACTCCTAGGTATATGAAGGATGTTCATAATAACCTTGTTCCTAATTGTCAGAAAACTAGAAAAAAAACTCAAAAGATATATCCGTAGTGAAATGGGTAAATAAAGCCATGTTCACTCAGTGGCTTTCTCTGCACCAATAGAAATGAAATACGTTCTGGCTCTGTGTAATAACATGGATGGATCTCACAAAAATAAATGCTGGTGAAAGAAGCGTGACGTGCATACATACTTCCATTGTAAAATTCCTTATAAACAAAGAGAGTTCACAGTCAGCAGAGTTTGTGCAAGAAGTTAGGATAGCAGTTACATTCTGAGAAGAGAAGAGGGGTAGATAATTGGGATTGTTAGGAGAGAGGATTTCCAAGTGGCTGGTAGTGTTCGTTCTGTTGATCCAGGTGGTAATTATATGGCAAGATGATGTCAAGCATCTTTTCATGTATTGAAGTTCTTTGTTATGTTTGGATTGGTCACTGCATTTTTAAAATACACCTCACATCCAGATGAATATCCTTTGCAGCATTGCTTTAATGTACAAATGTTGGA